TAGGAGCAGGAGCAGCCAGGCAGGGACAGGGGTGGGGAAAAGGAGAGGGGAGGCTGGGGAGGGCAGGACACGGTCCCGCTGCTCCTTGGGACAGGGACAGCCCTCGGGGCTGGGGGTGCTGGGAGAGGGTTTGGGATGGCACCGGGAGTGTGGAGAGCCCCTGGCAAGGATTCCCTGGCAGCTGCTCCCTGCCGGTGCCTCAGCGCCCGCCTGCAGTGCCAGGGGCTGTTTTTGTCACCGCAGCCCGAGCGGGGAAAGCCCCGTGCGGGAGGGAGGGAGCGGAGCCCCGGCCCCGGCATCCCCGGCAGGGGGGAATGCACGGGTGGGGGATGCACGGGTGGGGGATGCACGGGTGGGGATGCACGCAGGGGATGCACGCAGGGGATGCTGTCACCATGGAGACGCTGCCACGGGGAGCGATGGGCTCCGGTGTTTTCCTGGCGCGCGAGGACGCCGGGATCCGGGAGGGCGGGATGGGCGGTCGGGAAGCCCCCATTCAGGGAAAAGCCCTGCCCGGGCTCCCCACGCCCCGTCTGACCCCAACCCTGTGCCCCGCAGCCCCCGGGAGTCCCCAGGTCGGTGCCCGTGTCCTGCAGGGGGGCACCGGGGGGTCAGCAGCTGCCTCTGCTCGCTGTCAAAGGGCCCCGGCGGGGCTGGGGTCGGGTCAGACTGAGCTGCACCTGCCCCTGGACGCTGCAGCTCCGCCTTTGAGGCTCTGCCAGCTCGGGGTTCTCCTCCTGTTCCCTTCAGGTTTGCAGCCGGGAGCGAAGAGCTCCCCTCACCTTGAGGAGGTGGGGTCACAGCCAGCCTGCCATGACAGGAGGGACGAAGGGGCTCAGCCAAAGCTCCAGGAGAGGAGCCTGGGGCAGCCCAGCCTTCCCTTGCCTGCAGCCCACCGAGGGCGAGTCCTGGGTTAAGTTCATGAGTGATGATTTCATTGCTACACCTCCAGCTTGTCCTGTTTAGTCCTCGCAGCCTCTGCAGCAGCTGGAAAAGATCCCTGGGGTGCAGGGTGGTGTGTCCAGGGCTGGCCGTGCCTGGATTTGCAGCTACGGGAGCAGCACCACCTCGTGTCCCCACGGCTGGCACTGGTGACACTGGTGCATTTGGGTACTAAAATAGGGAGGTGGTGACACTGCCACCGTGCCCAACTCACTGAGGGCAGAGCACCCCTGGCAGCTCCCTGGGGTGGGATGCTTGGGGAACAGGATTTCCTCCTAAGATACCACCAGGGAAAATCAGTGTTTGCCCAAAGTTACAGCCCTGTGGGAGCCTCTGGAGAGGGAAAGGCAGTGTGTGCTGGAAGAAGGCTGGGAAACAGGAGTGGAACTGGGAAATAGCTGGGAACAGTTGATTATGGATTACTAAAAGACAGGGAACAGATGTGGCTGCCCCTGGATCCCTGGAAGTGTCCAGGTTGGACACTGGGGCTTGGAGCACCCTGAGATAGTGGAAAGTGTCCCTGCCCATGGCAGGGCCTGGGATTGGAATGAGGTGGGCTTTAAAGTCCCTTCCATCCAAACCATTCTGGGATCCTACGAAAAGCTGCAATGGTTCAGTGTTTTTGATAAAAGCTGTTGATTTTAATCGCCCTGAGCTGCTGCAGAAACGCTTCTGCTGAGATGAAGAGAGTTTTGGATCAAATCCAGTCTCAGTTCAGGTGGAGAGGGGTGGCTGCTTTTTCTGGGCAAAAGCCTGCAAGTGTTGCCCAAAATTATTGCAGGTGTTTGAGGCAACCCTTGGTTCTGGGTCGGAAGCCAAAAAAAATAAACCAAAAACTTGGAAAAAGTGGGATTTGCAGCGTGAGCCGCTCCCTGCGCTGCCCGTCCGAGGCAGCAGCGTTGCTGTGGGTCCCTCATCCCCTCCAGGAGCTCGGCTCGGGCCGTGCGAGCGCTGCAGTTTCTCAGCAGCGAGGCACCGCTGCCATCTGCTGTCCCCGGGCTGCGATGTCACCGCGGCCCTGCAGGGCTGCCCCGGCACGGCCCGGGCACAGCGACACGGCCGAGGGGCTCCGCCGTGCCCGGGGAACGCTCTCGGTGTGGCAGAACCTGAGCACGGGACTGGGGAGGCTCAGCCTGGAGAAAAAGGAGGCTCAGGAGGGACCTTCTGGCTCTGCACAACTCTCTGATAGGAGGGGACAGCTGGGGACGGTCGGGCTCTGCTCTCAGGGGACAGGGACAGGACAAGGGGAAACAGCTTCAAGCTGTGCCAGGAAAGGGTCAGGTTGGACACTGGAGGAATTTCTTCTGGGACAACGTGGCCAGGCATTGGAAGGGGCTGCCCAGGGATGTTTGGAGTCCCCATCCCTGGAGGTGTCCAAGGAATTCCTGAATGTGCTACTCAGTGCTCTGGGGTTTGGGCACAGGTGGGACTCGATGGTTTGGGTTTTCCCAGTGCGGTGATTCCGTGTGAATCCCAGACTGGTCAGGGCTGGAAAAGCTCAGCTCCCACCCCCCCACCGCGGGCAGTGTCCCCAGGCTCAGGGCCTGGGGTCGGTGTGTCCGGGCAGGGCTTATCTGCTCTCCTACACCTTCCATAGGAAATGTTCCCCAGTTTTGTTCCCTGGCCTCCCACCAGCTCTGACACGGCTGAGCTGCCCCTGCCCCTCTCCAGGCCCATCCCCCCGGGAGAATTCCAGGGCCCCTTCCCCCCTGGGCTGTGGGAGGGGAAGGAACGAGGGAGCAGAAGGAGCTGAGGGACAGAGTGGTGACACAGGCCCCGGGCTGATGGCAGGAGCAGGGACACGGCTGAGGACCAGGGAGAGGCTGCAATCAGCACGGGGGTGGCAACAAGGAGATCAATTACTGCACTTCACAGTCCAGATACAGAAAGTGCAATATCCCATGGTTATGGTATTATTTTTCCATTATTTCCCAGTTTATTAAAGCTATTATTTGTACTTCCACTGATTTGAACCCCTTCCTTCTCCGCTTGCTAATTAAAAGGTGTTATTTTTACCGTGGAGCTTTGAAATAGGGAGACAGGAAAATGCTCCAGGTTCAGTGTCTGCACAAAGCCTGAGGGAGGGAGAACAGTTCTCTTTCTTTGGAGAACACAACCCACAGCAAGGAAAAAAAGGGCAAGTAAACCCCCAAACCTGGTCACTGTACCGACTATAAATAAACTCTCCAAAAAGCCCAGGAGTTGATTGGATTAAAAAAAGTGTATTGGATGCCCAATACAAAATAATAAACATGAAGTTATTAAAAAAAGCCATAGAAGATACAGCAAATACTACAGAAAAGCAAAAAAATTGTACAGAAAGGTCGACATCTACAGCAGTCCTTGAAATTCTTCTACATGAGAATCATAAAACAATGTACACGTTTGGTTTGTTCCTTTTTCCCCAAATGTCTGAGGGAAGCTGTCACTGCACAGCTGGACTATGACACTACAAGGATACACAATGTTCCAAAGTTAAAATCACAGGATATGTAAGAAAACGTAGCATTAAAATGTGAAAAAGTGCAATACAGATTGTACACTGAATTGAATAAGTTTTTTCTTTTTTTTTTTTTTCAGTTTAACCTTAAAAAACCAACTTTGAACAGTTGTTTTATCATTAAAAATATTCCCCCTCCCCAAATTCAATGACAATATTAACATTCATGGTGTTCTACATAAGGAATATTCACAAAGGCCCCCAGCTGGGAATACTGTGTGTGTAGGATGGCATTTCTTTGGGTATAGGTAAAAAATAGGCAAAGGAACAGGTCCACACCCTCCTTTCAGGCCAGGGGGTGGATTTTCTTCTTTAAATACATGTTCTGTAGCTTATTTTGCCCTGAATAGTACGGATTAAAAGTCCAAACATTAATTATCCAGGTGGCCCATGGTGCTACAATTTATTCAATTCCCTCCCCTCCCTCAATAATAAATAAATGCAGGAAATGGCCCAGAAATGACAACACAGAGTCCAGGAAAAGAAAGGAAGTGACCCCACCCTCAATCCCTGCTCTCCCCAGGGATTCTGTGGCTCTCCCTTCTCCCAGTGACAGGACATGAGGACAGGGAGCTTCAGCTTCAGTTCAGGGGATAATGGAAAGTAAATGAAGCAAAGTTCTTTTTGCCATTTCAGTGGAAATCTCCTGGCAGAGATTCGAGCTTCTCAAATCCCATCCCCCACAGCATCAGGAAGTTTGGGATTCCTTTTATCCTAGAAGTGGAATTGCACAGGAATTCATTGGCAGCTGGTTGGGATTTCTTTTTTTTTTTTTTCTCTAATTTTACTGAACTCCAGCCCTTTTTCTAATGCAGAGAAGGACAGAGCCAGGCAAGCACACAAAGAGAGAAGGAACATCCCTGTTCCCTCCCCTCCCTGAAGCTCCCTGTTCTCTCTCCTCCCTTTCCAGACACATCTGTGAACAGCACCTGGGTCACCAATACTGGGTTTATTTTTACATGGTTTCCAAAGAGTAAAAAAAATACATTTTTGCCTTGTTTTGTGTCCGAGGAATCCTTCTGAGCAGGATTCCTGTTGGGATGGCCTGGGACAGGGCCACTGCTGCAGGACCCTGTGGATACTCAGTGCTCTCCAGGCAGGACCTGGGGTGTTGGGAATGGGAAGATCCTGAAGTTCTCTGAGCCCAGGGGGTTCAACCCCAGCCCTGCAGCCTTGCTGAGCTCTCACTCTGCACTTCCAAGGCTACTGATCCACCTTTAAACTAACAATAACAAAACAGCTGCCAAAGCAAGCTTCTGTAGGGTCACCTGGACAGGAGAACCCCAATTCCCTGGAGGAATTCTCTGAATGTTCCTAAAGGAGACTCCCTGTGCTCAGTGACCTGACACACAGTACAGCTGAAGATGTTTCCTTGTTCTTCAGTATTCCCAGTCACTGGAAAAAGACAGGAAAACAACAGGAATGAACCCTCCCCGGGATGCCCTCCCCTTCCCCAGCTACTTCTCCCCCCACTAAAAATATTGAAACTGCACAAAAAGCGACAAACAAGGCTCTCCAATTACACCTCAATTCAAACAGACCGGGAATCTCACAGTGATGAGAGGAGAAAGTCAGGCTTTTAATAATTATAATATAAAAATAATAAAAAAAGCTTACAAAGAGCAGTGCAGCATCCCAAAAGGCCATGGATTAACTGCCAGAAGGGGACGTAATTATACACAGAATAAAAACCAAAACAGAACAACCCACACTGGCAATGAATTTTCATACACAATAGAACAAGCAGTCAAACCTCAGCCTAGGCTGTGGAAAACAACAGTTTCTCCCTTTTTTTTTTTATTACAATATTTTTTTCCTTTTTATAAAAAAAGATAAAATAAAAACACAAATAAAATTGTACATAAATGCCAATGTCCAACACTGAAAAGGCAGGGCAATCACACCACTGAGACAAAACCTGACCAGAAAAAAACTAATGGCGAGTCCACTTTGCTTTGCTTTTGTCCTGCTGGATCCCATCCTGCCAGGAGCTGCTGCAATCCCGCGTGGCTCCGCTGCAGGACAAGGGGTGGCACTCGGGTCACCTCCAGCTGCTTCCTCTCCTCCTCTCCCCCCTTTGCTCTCATGTGCTGTCCCTCTTTCTGGCTTGGGTATTTGTTTTTGTTTCCTTTAGTTTTTCCTCTGTACAATTCCTTGTGTTCCAAGGCTGAGTCCGAGACTGGCGGCGCTGTGGATGGCGTCGGGGCGGTCACGCCGTGGTGATGGCGTTGAGGTCCTTCATGAGTCCTTCCAGGTGGGCCATTTCTTTGGTCAGCTCGTCTGGCTCGTAGCTCTGCAAACAGGGAAAGGGTCACTCACAGCTGGGGCACAGCAGGAACCCCAGGAATGGGCACTCCCTGCTGCACGCCCTGACCCCGACTCAGGAATGGCCACAAATGTGAAAGATCCCTCTTTTCCACGTGCAGCTCTTGGGCCAGTTGTGCTTCAGCCCTGTTTTCCTGTCTCAATCCCTGCCTTTGAACCAAAGCAGTTGAGAAGGATCTTCCCAGCTTAACAGGAAAAAAGGTCCAAGGAATCACTTCAACAAAGCTCTTTGGGATCAGGGTAGTTGCTAAGCCCATGCATTTTTAGGCTCAGCTGTCTCATTTCTGTCACCACTGTGGACAGGCACCGTGGCCTGGCTCACCTCCAAACCCTTCCTGACCAAGTCCTTCCCAGTTCTGAGCAGTTTCCAGCCCTGACCTGTTCTTGCACACAAACCTCCTCCTTCATTTCTACAGCAAAGAACTTCCAGTTTACCAAACCTCTGCACTGTCCAGCAAAGTCATCCCCATCCTGTGCCCAACACATCACCTGCCAACTCCTGAGTGGGACAAAGAGCAGCAGCTGGAAGTAAACTCATTCCTTAAACTGATTCCTACATGTTCTCCTAAAAACCCAGAATTAATTCAAATCACTGAACCCCATATTACAACTGGTAATTTACATTTTTAGACTCATAGTTGAACCTGTAATTTAATTTAACCTGGTCTTTTGTGCTGACTGTGACTCTACTCTTGCACTAATAAATTAATGAAAAAAGTATTAATGGCTCTATTTAAATGTTATAAAATAGCTGAGGAGTATGCATTTGGTACTGACCAAACAAAATTAATAAAGCAGGAGTGACAGAAGCACAAAAGGGCACCAAGATCAAGTTTCCATACCAGCACATACAGAAATAAAATCAGGAGAGTAAAAAACACGTGACAAAAGGACAATGAGGAAAAAAAAAAAAAGAAAAATAAATTCCAAACGAGTATTTCCTGTAGCAGTAATGCAACAGGGAATATTTGTATATTAACAGGTGACACAATGGCCACAGGAGCAACTCTTTGGCTTGCAATTTGAAAGGAAAACAGCTCTTCCAGTGCTTCACACCCAAAACATTCCTTAAAAGCTGCTTCCAAAGCAGCCCAACAGTTGGCTGCACCCTTCCCAAAAGTCAGGAAGCTTTGTCGTGAGAATTTACAAACATATTTGGGATGATGGCTTGGAACACAGCGACATTAAAGTCAAATGTTCCACGTGCAGTGACAGTGGGAATGCTCTGCAGCAGGTCGGGAATGGCACTGGGAATGCCCTGCAGCAGATGGGGAAGCTGCAGCTGCAGGATTCAGCAGGACTCCCCCCCCATTTCCTACGCAGGTTGCTGGGCAGGGGAGCAGTGGGAGTGCAGATCCCTGCAGATCCCCGGGACTGAGCCCTGCCAGCTCGGGCAGGGGGCACCTACGCTCTCCGAGTCCTCCAGCATCCGCGTGGTCTCCTGCACCTCGGGGGCGCTGGGCACCAGCACGGGCATGGGCGGCCGAGTCCTGCCCAGGGTGCCGATGGACGCCGTCTTCACCGCGTGGAGGGCGTGGCTGGGAGCTGCGAAGGGATTGGGACACGGTCAGCTCGGCTCAGGGGCTCTGCCTGCTCACCGGGCTCCTGGAAGGAGCAGAGGAAGGACAGGGGGGAATGGCTTCCACTGCCAGGGATGGACGGGATATTGGGAAGGAATTCCTGGCTGTGAGGGTGGGGAGGGCCTGGCACAGGGTGCCCAGAGCAGCTGTGCCCCTGGATCCCTGGCAGTGCCCAAGGCCAGGCTGGACAGGGCTTGGAGCACTCTGGGATAGTGGAAGGTGCCCTGCCCATGGCAGCGGGTGGGACTGGATGGGCTTTAAAGCTCCCTTCCAACCCAAAGCAGTATGGCATGATTCCACGAAGGAAAAGGATTCTATCAGGAGAACAGGAACACTTCAATTAGGGAGTGTTGTATTTAAATCGTCTGATCTATGTACAGAAAATGACACCAACAAAACTCACCCCAGCCTCTGCCATATTCCCTTTGATTCCCGGCTCTGGCCTCCCTTTGTTCCCCAAATCCCCATTCCTGCCCGCGGCGCTGTCTCACCTTGCTGTGTCAGCAGGGGGGTGCTGGGCAGGGCAGGGTCGAAGGGGCCCCCGGCGGAGGGCACGGCGGGCACGGCGAAGCTCTTGAGGGGGTGCGAGGGGCGCACGTGGGCAGTGGGGGGGCCCTGGGGCTCCTCCTCCGCGGGCAGGAACGGCCCCTCGGGCTCGGGCAGCTCCGCGCTCGGCACGGCCGAGGCCGCCGGCATCGTGTCCGTGCTGGGCGTGTTCCGGACAGACTCTGCAACACACGGAGCAACGGG